TGGCATCTGGTAACTTCCACTTGTTGAAATACACACACACACACACACACACACACACACACACACACACACAAACCATTTAACAAACTGGGTTCACATTTTACACTAAATGATGATTTAAGCTAGGACTACCAGATCTGAGCTGAAAAAATACAGATCACTAGATTAGAGCAAAGTTGCAGACAATCTTACAATTTTGTTGCCATTTTGTGGCCATCCAGATTTGTGTACCCCAAATGTGGTAGCCTCAATTAAGCATGGTTTATTGACTGAACCCAAGTGATTAGCCTTCCACATTCTGCCATGCCAAAACCAGGTAAACAACACTATCATATGTAATGCCGTATGAACCTAGCCAGTTTTATTTTGGAAAATGGTAAGTAAAACTGACCCAATTTCTCCACGTTGAATAATACTGAAAAACCGCATTCCGCCTTTGGCATCTATTTTGAGTTATACTGTACAGGATAAAGCATCTTGTTGGAGATTGGATTTGCTCTAGTGGACATCAGTGCATCAGTTCCACTGATATAAGAGGGTGCTTCTATTTTACCCATCAGTCTCTCTCAAAGAGATGCTATAACATGGCACTTTATACTGGCATAGCCCAGGTTGTTCTAAGATCCCCCCCCCCATTCAAATCTATAGCAGCATCTTTTCAAAATGATACAGGGGATAAGAAAGGAGGTTAGAAAGTGGTTAAAATCAGGCATCCAGTCGCCTGCCACAGCCAAACAGTTAAGTAGAACTTCCAGCTAAAGCACAGCTTTAGCAAGCCAAGATCTTTGTTCAGTCCAGCAAAGACAGAGATGGTGGCACTAATCCCGCAAGGTGTAACTTCTCCCTCAAAGGTCCCAAAGGTGCTTTTTTTCAAAAGGCAACTGGACTTTGTTTTTCCTCGAAGGCCTTTTGCTTCTCATTCAAGGAGCTTCTTCAGTTCTGGCTTCTTGGATGAAAAGCAAAACGTCTTCAAGGAAAAATCAAGGAAAAACCAGTTGCCTTTTGAAACAAGCACCTTTGGGACCTGGATGATTGAGAAGCTCCATAGACATTCTCTCTCCAAGGCCTGCTCGGCTGGCTCGTCCTTTGCGCAGCTGGAAAAGGATGCCCGGCCACGGCTGCTCCCAACCTTCAGGGCCGCGCACCCCGTTTTGACGACAAGATCAACGTGGCCAAAGGAACCACCCACGGCAAGCGCCGTCTGCCCTCCACCTACCCAGCCTCCTGCAACGCTTCCGTGCGAAAAGAAGGGCGCAACCTACCCCGCACCGGCCTCGCCTCCCCTTGCCGCCCACGTGACGGAGGCGAATGCGAAAGACGAGACGTAATTAGGCGGAGCTAGAGTATTTGTTCCGGACCGGCTAGTCCCCGCAAGAGTAATGGAAGATTCTCCCCAACATAGGAAGGGGGTCCAATCCGATCCCTTTCCTCCCCAGCCGCGATCCAAAGAATGGGATCAAGTTGCCTTAGTCATGCGGCGTGGCCCTCCGGGTTTGGCGCCGTGAGGAAGAAGCCTGGCAAGAAAATAGCCGGTCGGCTTGCTTTGAATGGTGATTATTTAGAGCCAAGCACGGGAAGGTGATTCTGTTTCCTGCTGTGATCCTATGTGGAAGGCATTTCGGCAGGCGACGCATTGTCAGCGGAGGAAAAGGAACAAAAAAGGTCGATGGAGTTATATCAGTACTGTTACTATTAAAAGAGCTTTCTCGGCTTCACGCCCGCTCGCCCTATAAATGGAAGGCCAAGCCTTCGGAAGAGGTCGGTGGTGGGGCGGAAGAGGCTGCAATGCTCCTGATTTATTGGGGCTTGTGGGGTGTTTTCCCCACGAATTAAAGTTTTTCCCCAAGTGTCCTGGTCTATTTCAAGGATTGTTCGGTCGTGTGAAAGCGTGTGCAATTACATAATTCAATCCTATCTTATTTCTCAGCAGCTAGTGGCACTTGGATATTACTTTAACTCCAAACCCTAGTATTGTGGTTAGTTGTGGCTGGAGAACCACCCAGGACTCTTGGGGGTGCAGACCAGAATGGGAAATTGAAAAAACCTCATGGAAGAAGGTAGGGGTATAGTGCTTCCATGTGCCTAGAAAATTGCATTTCAGTGTCCCATTACCCATAATCCCATTGGTAGGGTTACCGATAATGGGTTTATTAGTAACCATTAGTTGCCAATGCCAATTTTAGAATAGAATTGAATTGGAAGGGACCTTGGAGGAAACCCTACACCACTATAGACAAATGATTATCCAACATCTTCTTTAAAACTTCCATTGTTGGAGCATTCAGAACTTCTGGAGGCAAGTTGTTTCACGGATTAATTGTTATGTCAGGAATTTTCTCCTTAGATCTAAGTTACCTCTCTCCTTGATTAGTTTCTATCCATTGCTTCCTGTCTTGCCCTCAGGTGCTTTGGAGAATAGCTTGACTCCCTCTTCTTTGTGGCAACCCCTGAGATATTGGAACACTGCTATCATGTCTCCCCTAGTCCTTCTTTTCATTAAACTAGACATACCCAGTTTCTGCAACCGTTCTTCATATGTTTTAGTCTCCTAATCATCTTCGTTGCTCTTCTCTGCACTCTTTCTGGAGTCTCAACATCTTTTTTACATCGTGACGACCAAAACTGGATGCAGTATTCAGTTATGCATTCAGTTAACAACTACATTTGTGGTAAATTTTTATTCTACCACAAATGTAGTTAACTTGCTTCAGACAAGAGAGACAGAAGTGTGAGAGGTAAAATGTTTCAGAGAAAGAAACCCCACTCCATATAGTCAGTTTTGTCCTGGGAAGATCTAAAACAGGTCAAGTGACCCATTAAACATACCTAGCCCACCAACAAAAAGAACTGGAGAAATTGAGCAGTTGACAAACAACCCTTTCAGCACTAGATGTTGAACTTAAGCAGCACACAGACATGTCTATGGAGATTCTCAGCCATCCAGGTCATAGTTGTCCCAAAAGTGCTTTTTCAAGAGGCAGCTAGACTTTCTGGTTGAAAGCTTTCTGGTTCTTCAGCTCTGAAGAACCTTCTTGGATGAGAAGCAAAACATTTTCAAAGAAAAACCAGAAAGTCCAGTTGCCTCTTGAAAAAGTATATTTGGGAAAGTAGAGGACATGCTTCTCAAACCTTGATTGGCTACAATGATCCAGTAATACCTGGCCAGCAGAGTGGATGGTAGCAATATCATTAAGCCTTATCAATACTTTCCTGGTTTTAGAGCTCCTGGCATACTTCACACTTTGAGAAAATAGATGGGGAGTTCATGTTTTCAAAATTATGGCTTAAAATGACTGCAATTAGAAGCATTAAGATGGAGATTTGATTACATTAATGGCTGAGAGTTAAGGTGTTGTAGGAACAGGGCTGATGTGTCACCCAACTTCTATAATCCTCAGCTTGTTTTGCTATCTGACAATCTGATTTAGACTGGATTGTGTTAGATTGTTCTGTAGCTTCTTCGCTTTGAGCTTTATGTAAATTGTGTCGTGATTTATGACTTACCACTTTCTGTTACCACTTGGCATTATGATTTTTTCATTAAATCAAGAGCAAAACAACCCATGGCCTATCCAGCTTTATATCTCCATGCTGGAACATTTTAGTGATGCTATAGATTAGAGGTTCTGTCCTTGGATGGAGCAGAATGTACATTAACCCATCCCTAAGACTGAGCGGCTTTGGATTTTAGACCTCCCTTGGTTCCAGGAATTTTTCATCTCCTGGAAGTATTTTCACTGCTCCAAATTATCAGTGAGGTTTCACCAACCTACTTGGGCAATTAGGTAAGCTTCTTTCACTTATGACTGTTTGTGAAATAGATAATGGCCATGATCAGGAAAGCCTTTGTGCAGCTTTACTTTGTGTGCCAATTTCACCCTTTCGGGGGGGGGGAGGGGGAGGGAGACAGGCTATGCTAGATGGACTACTGCTGTGGCATTCTACGTTAATCTTTCCTTGAAGAGCATATGGAACAGAAGTTGGTACAAAATATAGCAGTGTGAGCAGTGATGGGCACTTCTCAATATCCACAAGTTACATTTCTGTTTTCGGGAGCTGCATTGCTTGCCATATGCTGTGGCATAGAGCCAAGTTACCTGGGAAATTGATTCTGCCTGATCATGGCTACCTGTCCTCCAAGTAACTTGGCAGGAGAGGCGTGTTATGAATCCCATCAATTTTTAAGAGTGTCACCTGCAGGATCCAGGGAGACAGCTTTTTCTGTTGCAATGTGTGGTGGAACAGCACTTGAGACCAGGTTGGCCCCAAATCTGTTGCCCTTCTGCAAGGCCCTGATAACATCAGGGAAATCCATGCAGGAAGCCAATTCTCTTTAAATTAATCCTAGAAAAAATGTAAATCATATTTCAACTACAAGAAAGGAAAGTAGGATCTCTTCACTTCTAGCTCTGTATGCTTGAGTTCTTTCTCACAAAGCCTTTCCCAGAATAAAGACATATTTCATGGAATATACAAGACACAAGTGTGATATCAACCAATCTACAAAATGACAAACTACATGTGTCTGGGCTATCACAGTTGATCGGAAGTAATAGTTGAAGCTGAGTAAACAGCAAATTGAGAAGGGTTAAAAAAAAGATAACTGCAAGTGAACTTTCAAAGATCTAAATATGAAAAGAACAGTGTGCCATACCTTTCAATCATATTTTGTACATATGTAGGCATATAACAGTAGGCCATATATAACTCATGAAGAAACCTGCGTGCATGACCTTGCATTAATACCCATGAGCCATATAATTGTATTTCTCTCTGCTTTAATTGTATTAGGAAGATATCCTATCTCCCAAAGTTTTCCTCTTTTTACAGAACTTTAAATGTAGAAATGAGACAAATGGACAAACATTATTTAGTGTTGGTTTTTTTTTAAGTTTATACTTAATTATTAAAGCATTTCTTTGTTTGAAAAATAGCTGACAGAAAGGAAATTCATGCTGATAAAGCTAGTTTGTGCATATTAAAAGAAGTCTCTTGAACATCACATAGATTAAATGGCAGAATTTAATCTAGCACCTACATCGTTTGGGGGGGGTGAAAAACAAGTTTGGTAAATAAACATTTAAAAAGAAAAAAGAAAATACTAAGTGATAAATTAGAAACAAATTAGAAAAGTTTATACAATTAAATTCAATGTTAACTGATTTCTTGCAGTGCAAGATTGATTTATTGTGTCACACATTCATTTTTTGTCATTAAATCAATTTTAGGCAGAATATCAAAGAATATCAGCTTTCTTTCCCAGAAAGTGTTTTTGACTCATTTTATTTGAAACATTTCTATATTGCTGCCCATTATTATTATTTTTAAACAGTGAAGGGTTCCTAATCTGGATCCTGACACTGGCCATCCTATTTATTCGGTCTTATTCAATGCTTATTTGAAGATTAAGATTCAAAAATACACATTTCAGGAGTCCTGGCACACCTCCTCTATACCATCTTCTATTATCCCTCCTGTTAGTATTTCAGAATACATCTGCCATAGATCAGTGAGGTGGAAGGGGCCAATTGGTGCAGGAAATCAAATTGAAGTGTCCAAAAAGAGAGAAAAAATGTAAGAGACCTCATTTCCCTGAATGTTTGCTGTTTTTTTTTTTAAAATCTAATACACATTTGGAATTTCCTTTGTTAGTGTTTCTTACAGCTTGCCCTATCCTTGAGCCCTTGAACCCATAGAAAGGCACTTGAGCCCATAGAAAGTCTTAATCAAGTAGAAGTGCAGCTACAGAAACATCAGCTTTTCTAACCTTTCACTCAGTAGCAGCAATTTGCCGAGATAATATTTTTCCTCATGTATATTACGGAATGGTAGCTATCCATGATCCCAATTGCTGTTTATTTGAATCTTCTAGTTTTCCCACCACTGGTCACTTGTTTTTCAACCCAACCTTCCTATGCCTCACTAGCTCAACCTCTTTAATTGAAGTCTTCTTGGTTGCATCTGCAGTAGAATTTCTTATGCTTGTTCCTTTACATACAGATGTAGGTTTTAGGGTGTTAATTTCTGACTTTACTGTAGTCTGGTCAATAAATTATGAACAAAAGGGACCCAGGAGAGATTTATCAGCATCTTGTGACAATACTGTAAATTTTGACTCTCAGGGAAGTGGGCAAGAGTTTGACCTTTACTAATTTACATTCCAGGAAACATATTGGGGGAAAATGTTAACCATCCATTGAAATATATTTCAATTTTATACAACTATTTTTTTTAAATCACTGCATTTGATTCCTAACTTGGATTAGCAAAAGAAATCATCCTGATACTAGAGACTTTGGGAGAGCTCATGAATCTCATGAATGCCTGCTGCTATTCAAGGATAAATAGCTACATAGTCTAGACATATGAACTGAAAGGAAAATAATTTGTAATAATTTCTGTTAGATTGCCAATAAGAAAAAACCATTGTGATGAATGTACATCAGAACATTCTTGATCCCATTTTTCCACTTTTGACTTTCTATCTGATAATACAAGAAATACTGGAGAGGAAGAACATTGCCATAAAACTTTTAGTTAAATTAACTGCAGTTAAGCTTTGTTCATTTACTGAAAAATATCAGCTTTTTGTACTGAAGAGCTAGCAAAAGTTGAGATTTTTCATATTCTCATTTTCATATTCACCCCTTCCAGAAACTGACTTCTAAATTTGTTTAAAATGTGGATTTTGTACCGAAGCAGACAAATAAAATCCTTTTGTACAAGAGGGAACTGTTATTTATTGCATAACCCATTATAAATGAGGCTGTATTCAATCTAATGAATCAGGCAGCACAATAAATTATTTAATAAATTATTGTTGCTGTTGTTGGATTTAAAAGACGCTCTGAATCATAAACTAACCAAACTATTTGCTAGTACATTAGATTAAAAAGTGATTGGCTAATTGTGTTTAGTGTTACTAATTTCATGTAAGGCTTATCCATGATTAATATAATCATAGCTCAATTAACCCAGTTAATTACATTTCACATAATGTGCTGACCATTTATTTATAGGGGCTGTGATTTGTGGTTCATACAACCACAAAACCATAATACAAGCCACTTTGATAACAATTTCTTAATAAACCCTTGGAAATCCTATAGGTAGTTTCTCTGACATACTTGTTTCAATGCTTGTCACACAAAAAGTTTTATCTTGCTTGATTTTTCTGTAATGTGCCCAATTTCCCACTAGAGGACAGGGTGACTATAGTCTTGGCTGTTTCACACAATCTAAAATCATTGTACTTAAATAATCCAAAAAATACAATTTTTATTTGACCCTATTAACAATTATATAAACATATCAGATAAATTACATCTATATATTTAAATGACATAAATCTGATTAACATCTATATCTCAATCGCACATTTTAAGGACATTTGTTTTTAAAGGCACAATATTTACTGATCTGAACACATATGTTAATGTTTAAACAGGTAGTCAATAACAAAAGAACAAATCTAATCTATTAAAACAGCTGTTCAAATTTTAGTCAGTGTAATCCAAAACACAGGGTATTAGTACTTACGAATTCAAAATAATTAAAATAATTCATTTAAAGAAAGTTGATTACATTGCAATAATTCTACTATAAGCGTAAGGTAGCTTGGATTTGAAAACATCTATAACAGTGAATAGGACTTAATATGTTAAACTACAAGTGCATTTTCTAGAAATGTAAAATCCACAGTTGATGAAAACTTTTTCACATCTTGTGTCTTCTCAATAAAGTTCCGAGTTTGTTCAAGGACACAGTTGGAAGTTTTTTACTGTTAGAAATCCTGTCAAATTTTGTTCAATTTTGTGACTATGAGTACTCTCACAGTCTGGTCAAATGAGCTACAGACACACAGACCACGTTTGTCAGGACTCCAGTCAAGACTCGAAATTGGCTGGGTTGATAATGTCACATTCTGTAAAAGGCTAACTGAACCCGCTACTCCCATTTCTGTTCCTTCTGAATCCTTCTTAGAGCGCTGTGCAGGGTACTCACTAAAGTAGGGAAAATGAAATGGTTAAAACCACTTTATGAATATGTACAATGTAAATTGTTTTATTCTAACTTCCTACATTTTCTCCCAGAGCCTCATGATGGCTTCCAAGTGCCATTGCATTTTATCTTCTGAATAACTTTCTGACCATGTGTTAGATCAAAAGAAAGAGGTATGCTCAAAGGAAAGGCCTGGAGTAGATCTTTCAAATGGTAACTTGCATCTCACTAATCTCTGCCTGTTTTTTCTTGTTTTGATTTTTTTTAGAGGTGGGGGAGGGATTGGCACTATACTTTTATTTTTATTCTCTTGAGGAGTTTATATAATTTTAATCAATATTTTGATTTCTAACTTGTTCCTATTAGAAACACTTCAGTCAAACTGATTTTTTTGTCCTTTAATTACTTAATTGCATACTTCTATGATTTTTTTTTTCTATTGTAAGTCTGTAAATATATAGTACCGTGTTTCCCCGAAGATACGACCTGTCCTGAAACTAAGGCCTTGCCACATTTTTCGTGTGGACAAAAGCCCCCTGGACAACCCCCCCTCCGGCCAGGTAGAGCACCACTCACCGACCTAGCGGTATCCCGAAGGCGCCAAGCCATGGAAGCCGGGGGGGGAAGGCACTTACATTGCTTGGCGCCTTAGGGATACCCCCTAGGTCATTGAATGGCACTCTGCCCGGCTGGAGATGGGGTTTGCCAGGCAGCTGCTCGTGAGCGTGGTCACCTTATGGCTGCTTCACCCGAGGCTGTGCCCGGCTCTTCAGGAGCCCGCTCGCAAGGGAGCAGCCGCCTGGCAACCCCAAAACAATAAGCCCTCCCCAGATAATAAGGCCCAAGCCATATTTTGTGGGCCAAAAGAAAATAAAACCGTGTCTTATTTTCGGGAAAACACGGTACTTGCAATGTAATGTTATATGCCTGTACTTCAGCAAGGGGTACATTTGCATCACTCAAAAACGTAACTTTGATGGAAAGTAAAATACTTACTATTTCCAGAGATGAAGGTTTCCAGCTCCTCCACTTGTCACAAAGATATCTCTGTTCTGTGGTAAGTGCCGAACTTGCCACAAAGTGGACTTGTGAGCCTGACAACAAAATTATGTAATAAAATGAGAGAGAAAATAAAGAGATTTTTTTAGTAATTTTCTATAACAGACTGAAATCAAGACTCATGAAAATCAGTAAAGTGAATGATTAGAAATACCTAAAAGTTTGTGTTTGTGCCCCAGATTTAATGCGCTATAAAGAATGAGCACACATTTATCTAATCACTAAGCAGTATGAGTCCTTGAGTTTAGAAGTTGTTGTAATTCTGGCAGTTACATGCCGGTACCTAATTCTGCAAAATGAGAGAAATTTTCCCTTATGTTTTCTTCTTGTCACAGAGAAGATGGAAGTTGGGGGAGTTTCATTTCATGCTTGGTGAAGGAGACAGACTTTATGCTTCTTAAGTTCTTTGATACAAAAAGGAGTGAAACAGTTATGGAGATTCAGCCAGAGAATGCAAAGAAGGGTGTGATTGCTTGTCTGGGCAAGCTGCGAAGAAAATGGAAGCATCAAAAGTCTCTCTTCCAATGCACAAAGCCCATGGTGAATAAGAAAACATTTTTCTCTCTACAGTTCTTCCAGAAATACAAGACAACTCAGGATTTGTCACAACCACAATTAATTGCTTAATAGAGTTACCTAGCTCAATATGTAAATGCATATTTGACTCTTCTAGGTTGCTCATTCAGTTGTAGCACTCTTTCTGGGAGATATTCATCTTGTTCAATGTACATTTTCCATAGAGAAGGCTAGATACAAATACAAACATATTCTCCTTTTTCTGGATTAGATGTGCATCTTGAGATAAAGTGTTCTCCACATCTCAAAGGCTTCTAACCTTATTAGCTAAAAGAATAATATTTCAATTCATTCTCAATTTAGATTTGTATGAGACAAATATTTCAGGGATTAGGGCATGAGTGCTTTTGAACAACCTCCCCTACCTCCATCCCTTCCTTCAATGGCATGTGGCAAGAGAACACTTCCCGCTATAAATTAGCAACCTCTTTTTAAACAAAATAATTTACCTTCTCCGAAACAGAAGCAAAACCTTTAGTTGGATGCTGAGTTCTCATATCAAAAACATGAAATTTTCCTTCAAGCGATGTAGCCACCAATTTGTTCATATTTATATCTTTCCTGTCAAATTCAACACTACAGACCTAGAAATTTAAAGCAAGCAACCAATAAATTACAACTGAATAACACATCATTAATGTACTATATGTATATGAGTTCATTACATGAACTGTAATGCAGTTTATTTAGAGGCACATTCTATCAAGGGTGCATAATCTAGACCAGGGGTGTCAAACTCGATTTCATTGAGGGCCACAACAGGGTTGTGTTTGACCTTGGAGGGCTGAAGTGGGCATGGTCACGGTAAGTGTGGTCACTGTGAGTGTGGTCGGGGTGAGTGTGGCCATGGCATTTGACATAGGCCCAAGATGTATTTTGCCCCCTTTGCATTCAAAACAGCTATTCCAGACAAAGGGAGATTTACTTTCTGGCACAAATAGTCTCAATTCCATAATGTAGAGATTAAAGACATGTAGAGTCCCCAACAGCTATAGGGCTTGGCTCTTTTGTATAGGAGCAGATCTGAATATATGCACAATATTGTCAGAACAGAGATGTTTAAAGCCTAATGTGAGTTAAGACAACCTAAACAACATCCAGGGTATTATATTTATACTTACTGTGTTGAATGATAAATTAACATTTAGAACCTTAAATACTTTTAAACAAAACAATTCATTTCTCTTTAATTCATCCATATCTCCTTTTTTGTCTTCTTCATGTATTAATCCGTCTGCCTTATTTATGGCATTTATTCATCCCCAAATAAAAAAATTGAACACTCTTTGTTATTGCTTGGGCAATATCAATTCATGTTTCCCTTTTCCCTGTTGAATCTGTCCTTTGAAATATTAACTAATTCTATGTAGAATACTTTAGATGACCCTCCCATTTTTCATTGAAAACATTAAAATTTTATTCCAGATATCCATTGTAAAGAGGAACACTGTACAACACAACAAAATCATCACAATATATTGCTAAATGTCTAGAAAGATTCAGAAAATATGCATGATGTGTGGAAACATTTCCAGTTTCATTCGGATTACAACTGTATACACAATTAAATCTCACTGACTTCACTGAGTTTTATGCATACCTGACAAAAGCTGCTTTCTATCTGCCAGATTTGTACACTATCTAGTCATAATATGATTTGATTTTGACTCTGTGTGTTCTGTAAATTCAGCCCTTTGTGCTTTACACAGTAAATCACAATCTAGAAATAACCACTGGACATTTTCACATGACATACTGTATTAAAAAAAATCTTACAGCTTGTACATACTACCATATCCTACATCCAATCATGTTCTGCATTTTAAGTTTTTAGGCTCACTATACTGTTTACAAACCATTATGGGGGAGATAATACAATCCAGTTGTAAGTCAAAACCAAGCAAATTACATTATAGCCACAGATAAGTCAGCAAAGTCTTTGGATTAGGCCTGTTCCATATTTTTAAACTGGATGAAACCAGGAAATGTGTGAAACAGCCAACAGGAAGGAAGATAGAGTGAATGGGGTGGAGAAAGAAACATATACCGTATTTTCACACATATAACCCGCGGGCAATGTCCGTTTTTACCTACCCCGCATGCCCCCCCCCCCGCGGGGTATAAAAGTGGGCGGGGTATACAGAAAATATTTTACACGACAGCGACTAACAGATTAACTAAAGGGAGACGTACCAGTATAGCAGTAAACAAACTTGAATAAACTAACCTGTTGCGTTATTTGAATTTTTTATTTATTAAAACAAAGTTACCATATTTTCACATCAATATAAAAGAGCCCTATACAACGCAAATTAAACTTTAAAACATATTTGTCCTATTACTATAAATTAATTAAATGACTTTAATTGTCCTCTTCTTCACTAGATGAAGAAAAACCCTCAAAGGCATCGTCGCCCGAATCATCATTAAATGCCGCTAAAACGGCCTCTAGGCGTTCGGAGGTGACAGCGTCTTGTCGCAGATCGTCATCTTCGTCTGCCGAGTTGTCGCTT